TGCAGCGCCACTGTGCAACCTGTTCAATTTGCCATTCACTCAAGGGCATTTACCGCGGCAGTGGAAGGGCACTGTCATTGTTCCACTGCCTAAAGTTGGGGATCCCTGGGAACTACCGACCAGTCAGCCTTACTAACGTGGTGGGTAAAGTAATGGAGCGACTGGTGGCTGCACGCCTTCGGCAGCATTTGGTGTGCCACGGTCACCTGTGCCACCAACAACACGGTTTCCGGCCGGGTCGCTCATGCCTCTCAAATCTGCTACTTGCACGTGCATGCTGGACCGAGGACAAGGCTAAAGGAGAAGAAACGGACATCATCTTCGTGGACTTCAGCAAGGCCTTCGACAGGGTTCCGCATGAACTCCTTCTGCGAAAGCTGTCCAACCTAGGTGTAGGTGTGGTAATGCGGAATTGGCTGCGAGACTTCCTCATCGATCGGAAATTCTGCATCCGTGTTGGCAAATCGCACTCTGCGTGGTATTCCGCTCCCAGTGGGGTCCCATAAGGCTCGGTTCTTGGTCCATTGCTCTTTGTGATTTATGTGAACGATCTGCCTGGTCAACTGTGCAGCCCGTCCCTCATGTATGCGGATGACATCAAAATCTGGTGTACAACCAAGGATCCGAATGATCGAAGTTCTCTTCAAGCTGATTTGAACAGCCTGGCTCAGTGGGCGGACACCTGGGCTCTTCCAGTCAACACAGCAAAGTGTGCTCACCTGCATTTGGGGCGTGCTTACTCAGAGGTAGTCTACAACTTCCAGGGAACCACATTGCGCAGAACATCATACTAACGAGATCTGGGTGTTATGGTTACGTCATCACTAAAGACCCGAGAAAACACCGATCGGGTCTATGCTAGCGCATGGAGCAATATGGGGCCTATTCGGCGGTCTTTCAACCAACTCACGATGGACGCTTTCAGGCTGCTGTACGCTTCCCATGTCAGACCAAGACTTGAGTACGGTGGTGCGGCGACTTACCCCTGCACGACCGGTGAACTGGCTAAGTTGGAGCTGCCACGAGACTCGTTGGACTACGCGGGACCAGTTATGAAGGTCGTCGACAGGCTACTAGTCTGTTGCCAATTGTGTATCGACGCCTCAGGGGAGATCTCATCTGCCTGAGGAAGATCCTGAGAGGTGATATGGGCCCGGAGCTGCAACAGTACTTCCCTTTACGGACAGAGCACCGCACGCGGAGGCACTCTCTCAGTTGTGGAAACTTCAGTCAGTTGGTCTTCCATTAGTCTACCGACTCTCGCAAATGAAAGACCCCGAAAATATTATCGTACGCTTGATCCAGAATTAGGCAGTGGCACATCTGTTGAGTACAATGCGAACATGGGACCGATGACATTCTGGGTAGTTTGGGTAATATGCTCATAGAGAAGTCACAAAAATCGATTTGCACAATGTATCCATAGCGATTTCGCTGCGTCTGTACACGTGCATGCGGCAGTCTGGGTGATTTTTATAGTCAGTGAAATAGCGAACGTAAAAAGAAAGCTGCCATGTCGACCCAACTTCGGATCGAAACGGAGGGTTAAACCTATAACATCAGAGAATGCATGTAAATCTGATCACCACTAGAACAAGAACTAGGACTTCATTAGTCAGTTTTGCTTTCTCTGTGTATGATGCAACAGAACCCATTTTGGCGAGCTTAATGTACACATCTATCATCACTCATTTTAGCAGTAGTCTAGCGAGGTTAGTAAGCAGTTAGAACCCGACTCTTTGTCATACACAATTAGTGATAAAATATAACATTACTCAGGCGAAACTTGGAAAAGGTTCTCTTCAAACCCCTAAAATAAAAATCACAGCTCTGAACTAAGTGAAAAAAGACTCAGCTCCTCACACTAATTTCATCGTTTTTCCAATTCCAAGGAAACTTTCAGAATGTTCCTTATGTAAACCCTCCTAACTGGTGTTGCAAAATTCGCTGCCTGAGAGCAACTGTTTACATCGTAGAGGCAGATTTACCTGNTCTGACAGGTGATATGACGTAAAACAATTGTTACATGAAAAGGGAAAAAGGCGGAATGAAATTCATTTTGAAACCAAGACCAGCTATGTCGTCTGTTTAGGAATAGTGCGCCCTAAAGCTCTTGTTATAATGGTACATGAAATGATAGTCCACTTGCTACTAAATATAAGATCTGCTGAATGCTCTCCCAATTGTGAACTCATAGATAGATATCAACCATATTTATGACCAACGGTTTTGAACTAACCAAGCTCGGATTCACTCCACGTAGCTGAAGGCCGATGCTGGTCAGCTCGTCTCTGCCACTTATGATCTGTCACTGTTCATTTCTTCCTGAATGATTGTTTCTTTTTCGAGATACGCTCAAAAAGGGCTCAGTAACAAGTGTTGTGAGTGGTATGTTTGAATAGCTCAAAAGAGCGTGATTGGCAGATTCTCCCAATAGATAAAAATGAACAGTACATTTTAGAGTACATTACTGTGCTGCAAATGGTAACTACGGAAAATGCGCATCTACCATCAAACTATTCATTCCATTATGTATCCTGTGTGCTTCTGAGAATTCTGAACGCTTGTTCCAAATGAGATACTTTGTTGAATTTGTTCAATTTACCGATACCTTTACTGTTTTTCATAATGAACCATTGTCCTTGTCCCTCACCTCTAGTAAATGCACGTTCACAGTTTTGCTTTGCTAAGAATTGGAAAAAGACTGTAAACCAAGTAGCATTTCTTGAAGATGACGATTGTATTTAGTATATGTACAAGTTATCGGTGTCCACACTAAATATCATTGCAAAGCTTGAAGGATCTATGGCCACCGTAATGTTGATTTTCATAGGGAGGTTAAATATATACAAAGCGATGCGTACATTAATTTCAACGTCATTGGCTTATCACTGGAAAACCTCGGAAGCAGTACTAACGTTGTCCATTTCGGCTAATAATGGTCAGAAAGGCGACAGGTCCTCCTGTCGTAAGCACAGAGGAATTAGTTTAATCAGCA